CCCCCTCCTGGCGAGAAGGGATCAAAGGCAAAGGGCTTCCCTTCGACTCAACTACGACGTTGCTGTGTTTCGCTTTTTCGTTTTGCCCTTGGAGTGGAGGGCCCAGGGAAACGCGGGAGCGGTGACGGCGACGGCGACGGCGACGGCGAAGGCGAAGGCGACGACGACGAGGCGACGGCGACGACGACGACGACCATGAAGACGACGAGGCGACGACGACGACGATGACGACGACGACGACGACGACGACGACGACGACGACGACGACGACGACGACGACGACGACGACGACGACGACGACGACGAACGGAAGAGCGTCTTCCACGCGCCGATAGGGTCGGCGGATTCGTGGCAGGGGCAACGGAGACAAACGTGAGGGTGCGCAGATTATCAGTATTTTTTCTTCGGCGACGCGAGTAGCCAATCAGCCAAAGCATGAATCGGCAGCAGTAGTAGGATGTAGGACTAGCTTTCGAATCATGTCTGCTCTTGTCCTCCCTGCAACCTGCTTCCCCCGCTTCAGAGAGTGTAGCAGCCGCAATAGCGTTTCTCAGCGTTGAGACTTCGAATTCTGGATGCTTCGCATATCTCTACCAGTGATACACCTTGATGTCGTTCTGGCGCCGCGGCTCGCTGCCGCCGTCGGGATCCTCGTTGGACTTACCACCTCGTCGTCTGTGCTACCCGACAGGCTGGGGCTGACGTCCTCGGGTCGTTCCCTTGTCCGCACCTGGACGTTGGAACGTTTTCGCGCCATTTTGGCTGCGCTAGGTGGTCTCGGTGCCTACCTCAGGCCTGTTGGACGCACCTGCATGCCCGGTCAGGGGCTGTCATGGCACCTGGATTGCATCGGCTTCGGCCCCCTGGGCGCTGCCGTGAGCCGCCCGACCCGCGGCCCTGCGCGCGTTAGGTAATTTAGTCGCGTCCGCGGCCCGTTCGCGACCTTCCGCCGCTGGCGCTTCCGCCTGCGGCGGTAAAAAACAAATATCTCTACCAACCCATACAGAAACGATGGCCAGGCGAGTTGTCGGGAGGAGGGAACTACGTAAGCATCTAGTGAAACAGAGGCGGATAATCATGAACTCAGATACCTCTTGGAGCCTCTTGAAGTCCTCTTGAAATCATCTTGGAGCTCTCTTGGGGCCCCTTGGGTGCCGTTGGGTCTTGGGGCTCTTTTGGGGCCCTCTTTGGGACCTCTGCCAGTCATCCTGGGCCATCTTGGGGAGCATCGATCAAACATGGGGCGGCACCGACGGCTAGCATGGCCCCCGTCATGGTGTCTCCTGGAGCCCCCTCAGGACGCTCCTGGGGCGCTCTTGGGCGGTCTTGGGGCTGTTTGAGGCCTCTTCTGGGCCCCTGTCTGAGCTCTATTGGTCGTTCTTGCGGGAGGCCTCAGAGGCCCATCGTAAGGGAACAGGCGACAAACGAAAACATATTGAACGGGATGAGTTTTTGACGGATGTGGGCCTCTCGGTGGTCTCTTGGGGATGCTCCGTGGCCACTGGTGCCGTCTTGGGTTGGCCTTGGCTCTTGGAGGCATGTTGAAGGGCGTCTAGTGTCATTTCCGGTCATGAAAATCTGAGTTGTTGCGCAATTTGATGGGGTTGGAACGCGCTCCCACCTAGCGAACGGAAGGCGCTCGCGCGTGGTCGCGCTTCGAACGGTCTGTCGAAGAGAAACCTACGCGTGCCGCGCAGGGGCGGGAGCGGCAAAAGTTCGGATGAGTGCGGCAGAGACGAGGCATGCGCCGCGCCGGCCCACAACCCGCCCGGCATCCCAAGCGAGCCTCGCAGCCCTCTGCCCGCCGTGCTGGTGGCACCAACCCTGGTGCTCACCGACCTGGAGCCTCTGCCACCACCACCATGCCCAGAGCTTTCCCCACGCCGTGTACGCTCCCTGGCTCGAACAACGGGGGATATCGCCCACGTAATGGTGGACCACGCCAGGCGCCTACACCACGGAATTGAGGAGGCGTGGCAGGATTTCGTTCAAGAGCGACGCTGCGCAAATCCTTGCGGCAGCGACGAGCTAACAACTGAGGCCGGTTGCTGGAGTCGCGACGACACTGGATCTTCTTGGCCACGATCTACGGGCAGGAGATACCTGACAGTGGAGTTCAGAGAGCCTACCCCTGGGACGGCAGGCTTGCAGCCCTGGCCCACATGGTTGCATGGCTGAGCCTCAAGAAAGAAAGGAACAGGGTAGGGTGCGAGAGCGAGGAAAACCTGAGGCCTGCGTGGGAGTCGTTCCTGGGGTCCCAGGGGGACCTCCGGGGCGCTAGCCCCCACAGGTACGACGCGGACACACTGGCGTCCTTCCTGGCCAGCCAAGGCATTTGCGGCATGGACTCCGCCAAGCTCACCAATTACCGCCGACCAGCCGCCCTGGCAGGAACCCCAGCTGGCGCACCCAGGGAAGCAGGGAGTCTCTGGAGCGCCAACGCAGCCAGCGGCAGCGCCATGTCAGTGCGCGGAACAACAGACCCCGACCCACCAGATGA